TGTTATTCACGTTAAAATTAAAATTTTCATCGATTTTGAACCTAAATATACCGACGTTTCTATGGTTAATTGACTTTAAACTGTGTGTGATATTTAATTCCGAGTCGGAAATAAATTGGTCATTATACTAAGACGATTTGGAGAAGGGGAGAGGGGGTATTCCCACTCAGGGACGTCGTTTACATGCAGTTTTTTCGTCAATATACTAGAAATTCATAATTTTCCTGATGTCGACATAATCATCAACTCTTTATTTCGCTGCTGTAGAACATACGTTCTAACCACTGCGTCACACAGGATATTTTTGTTAATTGTGTTTCTCTTTCTCTGTTTATATGTGCAGTTGTACACATTATAAGAAAATTAAAAATCACCACATTGACGGAAAAAAGATGTTCCGAAATTGCAGAAAAGTAAAAAAGAACAGGTTTGGCGTGGCTTTTATTCTTTCTAGGCAATTACAGGTGTCCTCTTCAATTTTATGGACACATTTTAATTTGCTTCCGTTGCTTTCCATTTCAGTGCAGGGTACATCCAGGACTATTTGATTTACTACGTGTTTTATAAAGCTTATATTTCGACAAAAGGCAGGTAATGGACGAGAATTATCCAATCATTTCGGAAATTAAATCTCACCGACTCTGGTAGGAAAAGTGTATACAGTGAATAAAATCATTAGCATCTTGGCGTCGGAAGCAAATTAAAATTGGGGGGGGGGGGGGTTAAACCAAAAAAGGTAAGCCACAATTCTCAATCCCTTTTTTATGTTTATCTTTTCAGACGTGGGCTGGGGTTTGGGGAGGGGATAAGCCCTCTCTAGCACCACGGCTGCAACACCCATGTATAGTGTGGACAGAGACACTCCCTGGTATTCATGAGGTCAAGTGTCACCCTTTCTTGGAAATATGATTATTAAAAAAAACTATGGATTTCAGTGATTTCAGATTTTCAATAGAATTAGTGAATTTAATCACACAATACAAAAATTACACAACCCTGGAACCCAGTCCCATTGACTTAAATTTAAGCAACGTATATCTGTCTAAGCATAAACAAAAGAAGACCGAGTACGACATTTTTTTTCTTATTTATGCATGATCAAGAAGCGATGTGTTTATGTCTTATAAAACAAATATTTGGTCAGATGCAACAGAAAGTGTGTTTACTCTTTACACGTACGTAAAAGCAATCATATACTTCTTATAATCCAACTTTCATTTGGTAAGAGTCATTTTCCATTTTCTGTCATAAATGATGTATTTTTTAAATTAACTTAATATTATTTAAGATTTATATATGTATGTATGATATAATTGTAGGTCATTAATTAGTTGTATATATAATGTTGCGGGATCAATGTACAGAAGCGAGTTGTGGGTCAGTATACAAGTATAATTCTGTTCCATTGCTGGCTGATTCGATATGTATCTGTAATGAGTTTTAATCGGCAATAGTCTTATTGTCATTTTTTTTTTCAATGTTTTTTTTTTCTTTTTCTTTGTCTCACGCATACTTAATTGTTCATTGTAAATATTTAATGTAATATCCTCTCTATACTGTTTTGTACAGTTCATGAGAATAAAGTCTTGTGTCTTGTCTAATGATAAAATATAGCGGTATTGATCACTCGAAATTTAATTTCAAAGAAATGTAGCGTAAATGAATTGAAATTTTTCGCAATGTAGCGTAATGTTGACGTCCCCAAAGATATAGAAATTGCGGGATCCAAATACAAGCAACTATTCTGGGTCAATACATTGAATAATATAGAACACCGTCGGATACTGAGTATATACATGAACTTTTTCATCTATTAAATGTTCAATAATTGTTGATTTGATTACACTTCCCTTAAATCTTAATGTGTGATATTTTTTTTTTTCTGAATAAACCTAATGTTGTAAATGATTTTCTGAGATTTCAACCTAACGTATATTTTTTATTATTGAAACATCGCGATTCACTTCTTAACGCGCGATCTTTATAGCAACATTTTAGTCGTTTTTCTTTCAAAAAATTAGTAATTGAAGCTTTTTTTTCACATTTTTATAAGAATTTATATTTAGATATACAAACTTTAGGAAGAACACAACTATCATACGACAAAAAGTTTAAAATAAAATAGCCTTTTTTTCTTGTAGATTTATACAATGTAGGACATTAAAAATAAAAGCTCATACATATAAATAAAAAATTGTTAAAATTTAAGAATGATTTACTGCAATTAGGCTATAAAATCTAGCCGTTTTCCCTTATCCCTCAAATACTTTTGAGAAAGTATATAAAATATTGTGGGTCACGCGCGAAATCCTGCCAATGCACTCAGTGGTAAGATTTCGTATATATAAGATTGCATTGTGGGTCATTTTTTGATTGTATAATTATGGGTCAAAAATTTTTTTTTTGTAAAATATGAATATAGTTACTATTTTATTGTCATAAACAAAATTTTAGGCACATGGTTTGTGGGTCAATATATAATGACCCATAAACCATCCAAGGTACCCACAACGTGAGTGAAAAAGACGCAAAATAACCCACAATCCACATGGCACAAAACTATATATATATATATATATATATATATATATATATATATATATATATATATATATATATATATATATATATATATATATATATATATATATCTCAAGTATAAAAGATCGTTTTTTGTAACTAATATTTGCTATAGATATTTCAATGTTTTTTCTTCATTATTTTGCTTGCAGAGATATGACCTCTACGACAGCTTTTCTACTTTTGTACGTTATTTTGGAAACTCTTCATTCAGGTTGGTGTATTTGAATAAGATGATTCCAACGATCAAATAAAAGATAATTGTTCATTGCTTGTATCCTAGTAATTCTGTATTGTTATATAAATTCAATGCAGTCATTGTAAATAAACAGGTATTATGATTCGAAGGATTAACATAAAGGACTTTAAAATTTAGATTATGCACTAATTTCTCTTTATATTGATAATCAGTAAAATTTTAATCGTTCGAGGGATTTCTTGCTACAGTGTTTTTTGAAAACTGATATAGGGTGTTTTAAAAAATACATTGCATAGACATCATTTACCCATAAACCTTATAAAAATATTTTAAAAATATTGATAGTTTGCGAGAAGCTTTTTAATGCAATATCGATATTTTTTATGTAGTGCATCTTTTCATCTTCTGTAGTTATAGAAGTGATGTTGATGGATTTTACATTATTTATCGATGCAGATTCTGGGCTATACAATATTTTAAGTTGATGAAATTGCTTTCTTTATTTTCATATGCATGATTCTGAGTATGGCATAGTCATTGATGTCTTTTTGTTGCAATAATAAAATTGTTATTGCAGGAATGATTGCTTGAAAAAATTACCCATAATTAAGTATCGTTTTCATTGTTTATTCAAAGTACACAATGCTAACATTTCGTTTTATATTCATTTTATATTTGAATATCTTTGCAGGATTTTTCACAACCACTAAAGAAAAGCTCACAATCTATACGAATGCTAAGTCTTGGAATGATGCAAAGACAATCTGTGAACAAAGTGGTTCATCCTTAGTTACAATCTCTTCTCCGACGAAACAATACTTCGTTGAAAAATATCTTCAAAACGAGTGGGTTCAATCTGTGTAAGTTTAAATTAAATTTAAGATGAAAATGTATTATTGTAAGGCTACGATTGTTAAATAAATTATTAAGACTTTTTAAAGTATTATTAAAATAGTTCACACACCCCTATAATATATGTACCTTTCAAATACTAGTACCGGTCATTAAAGCTATATTTTCAGCCGAAATATCTCTGAAATATTGTTGACCCAACGTTAAACATAAGGAAATCAATCGATCAACCAATCAATCAATCCAAAAATCAATTCATTCACAGTCTGAAATTAAAGACTGTTATGAAGTATTCTTTTATATTTTTTTACTATATTTAAAAAAAATAATATTTTTTTTATTTGCAAATAATTATATGGAGATAACGAACAGTATTCAAGATCAAAATTCTATAAAACAATACAAAATAGGAGCAGAGCAAAAACAGACCTCCGCAACACCAGAGATGGGATCAGGTGCCATGGAGGAGTGGGCATCACCTACCGACCGGTCACACCAGCTGTGTGTACCTTGTCATGATTGGGAAATAACGGGGAAATCCGTTGTCAATTTAGAGTGAGAAAAGAAAAAAGTCAGCCCAAATTAGAATTTGAACAAATCATTTTTCGACCCCCACTTGACTCGCAGGTAATGGAAACGGAGAAATCAGAATCCTTATTACTCGTTTAAAGAACAATCCAAACTATCTGCTTAAAGTGAGATGGCTTCGACGTAAAATTGCATGAGGAATCCTATAGGGACATTGTTAATAATAAAAGTGAAAAGCGTCTTCTTGATTGCCTGAGTGAAAATGAAATTCTGAAAGCTTATTACTGGCATACTAACAGGACACCACCACACGTCTTGTAGATCATTTAACTACTGCTTAATGGTTAGTGTATTGGCTTTCATTTTTCATAGATACTCGTACATTCTTCCTTTGGGTAACAACATTTTTCATCCTTTGACCTTGGAGTTTGACTTGTATTTGAGAAGCTTTAACCTTTGCCAAAAGATATGGAGATATCAATTTTTCACAACCACACTTTGTACCTCTATCACAGTAGAGTTTTTCTAATTCTTCTCCAATTAACCGAGTTTCATATAAAATCATGTTAAAGCGATTGAGCTTTGTGTGCATACAGTTTTTAGGCGTCACCAACTTTTTCAATAAATTAAATCATTCGATATTACTTCTCTTATTCAGATATTTCTTTGAAACATAAAGAAAAAAGACGATTTAACTGTTATTATTTTCTGTATCGTTCTATAGCCCCGGAAATGTATGGACGGGATTACATGAAATAGATTCGTCAGACGGATCAAAGGTAAAATGGATCGACTGCAACAATGTAACCTATCACAAATACGCCACGACACCAAGTTCAGTAGCAGACGACAATAAATGCTTTTCAATTAATCCGTCAACAGGACAATGGAAGACTGAGAGATGCGATGTGAAATTAAGCTTTATATGCGAAGTAAATTTAGGTAGGAATGCTAAGTATTTTGAAGGAAGAAAAACAATTTCGTTGTGGATCGAATTAAAAGCGGGATATAATGTAACATTATTCAGGCCCCCAGTATCTTAAGCGATTAAGCGGTCATTTCCTACTGCGCTGTTGTTTATAATCTTCTTTTGAGGAAGGAAATACATTGTAGATATTATCTATATGATTATATAGGATGCTTTTTTAAATCATTATACAAAATAATCTCTAATCAGTAATGGTCCTGCTAGGTTAACACGCGATTCAGTCAAAATGATAATAATTGAGATCAACTATTCTATTTTCACTTTTTACGAAAAAAGAGCCTAATACTACGATGGCCGATATCAGTCTGTACATATACCGACTGCTATTGAAATTTGTACATCTAAAATGTACATTGACATGTACATTTTGCAATGACAGTGCACACTTAGTGCTCTTAACGTTTGTCTGTACATGTACAAAATAACAAAAAGGCAAATGTCAAAACGTGAACGTTTGGAACACATATGCTTCTAATTACAATTCCTGTTCGGCAAAAAACCATTAAATATGAATAAAATTGGACAAGTCACTGAGACGATGAGTTTTGCAATAAAAAGGATGAAAAATATTAAAAGAAAATGTAAAAATTCCTGTGGACATTAGATCTAATGTTAAAATATGTCTTCTTTTAGTTTTACTGAAAAGAGTGAAATTTCTATAGATTAAAATCACCTTCCACAAACATTTTTTGCACAATAAGTTGCCCCAATCCAACCCAGAAAATGATAAGTATTTAAGTACAAATCGCTAAATTTGCGCCTCGCTAAAATATTTCCACTTACACGGTATATTTCCAATTTAAAAAATTTTGAAAACAATAAAATGTGAAAATCATAACGATAACCTTTTTGTTATATTTTTATTATATTTAGTATGCTTTCATGTATTAAAATGATATCTCTCATTGTTGGGTATTACAATATAAATGTAATATTTCCTTCCTAAGCAAGCCTCAGGTTTTTTTTTTTTTGGAGGATACGATAGAGGTATCGTTTTATGTCGTGTTTTGTAATCATATAAAACTTTCTTACTTTACAGGACTTTGTGATTTTGACCGATACTATCCAAGAACCGGTTGTAGTGGATCTTTGAAACAAACGGGAGAGTACAGCCTTTACGATTGTTTAAATGCCTGTCGTAATATTCCAATTCAATCTGAAGGTGAGCCAATTTTATTTCTTAAAATTTTTATCAAATCGGTATATGTAAGCAGGTCATTATTAAAATATTTGTAGGAATTCCATGCGGTCCTAATGCTTTCTATTAAGGAAAAAACTCCCAATTGTTTTCATTTCAAGTAGGGTAAGTCGGGGTAATTTCGACCACCGTTTAAGTTTGAACACAGCAACATCGCCCTGCACAATAATTTACGGAATTATTGAGTCAAGCAGAAAAATTGAAATTAATGAAAATTGTTTACTCAATTTTTTTAAACTAGTATATTTGAAAACAGTCAAGTTTTGCAATTGGGGATTAAAAGCCATACGTCAGCAAAAGTGGTACAACTTACCCCAATTTACCCTAGATTCAAATGCCTGCAGATAGTTATGGTGTTCAGCAAATAATACTCGAGGTCTGAGTAACTATGGCCATACGATAGTGAGCCTTTCGCGAGACAATCAGGTTAATTATTTAAAGAAGTATCTTTAGTTCTCTACACATAAGAAGTTGTGTTACACTAAATTGCCAGTGGAGACATGATGAACGAAAAAAACCATTCTGTTTCATCGTTATGAATTATAGTTTTTGTTACCCCACCCATCTCACTTAAATAAATAGTTAAAAATACCCAAGCTTCTTCAATTCGGATATTTCTTAATTTTTCGTTGTTAATATGCACATTTCGTTTACAAACAAACATACTTGCGTGCAACATGAAATTATTACATCAGTCAATAGTCGTCTTTCAGATGATCTTAAAAAAAGAATGTTTGAAAACTGGCTACTTTGAACTTTCTGGCATGAAAAAGATTTACTGCTCAATCACACTGAGTACCGAGTATACATGTATGTATAATTTGCAGCCTTCCACTGGCATTGCTGCAAGTTGTGGCATATCAAGAATTCTCAAAATGAAAATTCTTATATGTAGAATTCTCAAAAGGGGGGGGGAACAAGCAGACGAAAACTACCTGACTGTTGCATATTACTGTATATAGCTTTTTTGATGAATACTCTTGATTAGTTCCCCGTCTTTTAATAGGTGAGGAATGCTGGGGTGTCGGGTTCTACCAGGGATTTACCGGGGACGACTGTTGGATGTTTCTTTCTGTTGATCCAGAGGCATGCTCCAAATCCAGCTTTTCAAATAACGACATTGATATGTACCTTAAGACATGTTTTACACGTAAGTTTTAATATATATATATATATATATATATATATATATATATATATATATATATATATATATATATATATATATATAAAATGATAATGAACCAAGACGAAATACATAATGATGCCTTTTGTTTCAATATTATTTATCACGTAGGTTGTACTCGTTAATATGTTAGAGTTGCTTGCCTGTAATTATTTTTTGAAAAGTACAAATTGATGTTTCGCTTTTCTGATAATCTTGTCATGTATATTTGATTTTTCAGATGAAGTAAATAATACGATTCTGGTCGATAATTCGGTAGCCCTAATTCCTGATACCTCCTGTATGGTCAATATACCATTGATATCGTCCACTCCAGGGGATTTCACCATGCAGAGTACAAATTCAGTTCGTAAGTTATCCTACTGACTATGAAAATTAAATGCACGTAAGCTGCACATCTGTAGCTCGCTGTTTTGAAAAAAATTGGGACGGAAGACCAGAGGGCAGTCAGCTACTATGCCATACATTGAAAAAGTGTATTTTTATTGCCCACAAAAATTGATTCTCGATTTTCTTCCTCCTTTTATTCAAGCTTCCATCTCAAAATATTAAAAACCTTGTTTCCAACATATTCTTTCACTATCTTTCTGGACCATCGAAAATTTCGCCAATGTATACTGCCATTTAAGAAAATTCGGTCCAACGCGCCTTAGACTTGAATTGTACATATAGAGTTTTGTTTTGGAAGTAGTAAAAGGATATGCTGGGAACACATGGTCATTAAATATTTTTTTGTATAATGAACAATAAATCTGAAAAAGGACTTTTTTGTGTGCAATAAATATACCTATGAATATTTTAACGGGTGGGCATTGTAGTTCTGAAGGTTGTCCCATCAATACATGTTTTAAAATGTTTCTTGTTTCATTTTTCGCTGTACAGTTAAGCTTCCATTTCTATAATGTAGCTCTTTATTTGGTCGTCCATCCCAATATTTTTTTCAGACCCTTGAGCTAAGATCTACAGCTATGAAAGCATCAGTGGGGGGGAAAAGAATATTCCTTTCCTCTCCTTTAAAATAGAATTTTTATCGTTTTTTTTTATCAGAATGACTCATCTAGTCATATTTCAAGGGATTGTTAAGCAAATCAAAATACACATTGGGAAATATTTCCTCTTCCCATTTTGCAGGAACCTAGCTGCTAGGTCAAAAGAATGTTAAAATTTTATGTGGCAGTTCAATCAAATTTTCGCCTTCAAAATACGCCCAGATTCCTGCCGAATGAGAATTATAGGTGCATTGCGGGTTAAAATTCTGTGAATATAAAACTAATATGACGTCATTATACTTGCTGGACTATTCGTCTTTCTTTGAGGTAAAACGTCCAGATTGAAATTTATGATGATGATTGGGTTAATTTTGTCAAAGTCTGATAGTATCACATTAAAAATTAACGGTTCTTATACAGGAAAGTTCATCAGATGAAAAGCTTGACGTCAAAGAAATGTCAATATGATTTTATCAAAAGAATAGTTGGGACCGAAGTGTGTGATATAATATAAATAATAAAAGGATTTCAAAGAATCGGAAAAATAATAGAAATAAACAATTTACTTTCACCATACATATAAAACGAGTAATTTAATTTTAAGTTTAATTCAAAGTACCAATATGCATATTTAATTAATTTCTTTCCAAATTAAGAAATGCACGTTATGTTTAACGTGTTTTTGAGCTGTATGAATGAACTTTTCAGTAGTTTTACAGTACAGTGTTTGGTGTATTTTAATGTGCCGACAGAAGTCATGTTTAACAAATATCAACCAAATTGCCAAGAACTATGAATAAATAAAGCAAGAAATTGAGTTTTTAAATTTGTTATTAGGATTTACAGATATCACTTTAAACTTAGATAAATAAATAAATGAATAAATAAAAAAGTTAGCAACGTTCATAAGTAAAGTCAGGCCATCTTATAATAATGACTTGTCAGATTAATATCTAGACAGAGTTTAATTAAAAAATGTGGGTGGATACAATCTCTGATTGGATTGTGGCTGTTATTTTGTTTTACCCCTTTTTATGGCAGACAGCAGTTTAAGACATTTTGTATATGTTTTTGAATCTTATAATGTTTATAAGGGTCGACTTGAAATACATGAATACCACAGGCGCTTGATGTTTTATATGGGATATTTTTATTTATGAAAAGAAAGCTTAAAAACGTCAAGCGCTTGTGATGAATACTGTACCTTATGAAAGATCACAGGGTTTGAATTCGTATTCTAGTCTGGTTTACCCCCCTTTTTCCTATGTACATCAAGTTACAAAGACATTATGGTGCTGGGGGTCAAATCGTGCAATACTTTGCCTAAGATGTGTAATACTCTATTTGAGTCCCCCTTTTCTTACCCCCTTTTTTTCTTACCTCCTTTCTTTTGTAAACTGTGTTTTACTTCTTTTGTCATTTACTTTAATAAATGACATGTTTCACTTCTATATGATGTTTTTTTTTTTTGCCTGCTTCTAACAAAAAACAAGCTCATTCGTTTGGCAGGGGAACTTAAAGGAACATAAACAAAGAAGTTAGCAACGTTCATAAGTAAAGTCAGGCTTTCTTACAATAATGACTTGTCAGCTTAATATCTAGACAAACTTTAATTAAAAAAATGTTTTATTCAGTTTTTTATCATGATTAAATGTTTTAAGCATAATATGTCAATATTTGTTACATTTATACAGTTGATAGTTTTTGCTCCACTGTTCAGTCCAGCACTGTTCAAAGGGAGACAACTTTATATTCTATAAGCACAGACGCACTTTTGAAAGCTGTATGAATGTTATCGTTTTTGAAGTTTTATATTCGTTTAACCACGTAAACGTTAAACTGAGGACTATTATCCAATTTCATTTCATTAGCTACAAACTTATGAAGATAAAGAATGCATTTTTTCCTGATACAAAGTATTGCACGAATGCCAGAATGGATATCCTCCCAGGAAGTCAAATTCCATGTTGTGTGTTGCATGTTTGTGAATACCACTAAACAGTTAAAAGTGTGCTGGATATTTGTTTGTCTTTTAATGCTATTTCCTTTGATTTTTTTTAAATATGCATGATACCTACATGTATGTATCGTCCTTTAAGGATAAATGACACGTTACCCAATGATTTTCGCAAGATTTGTCATTAAAGTAACTTTTATATTGTTTTCTAACAGAGGATTGAGGTACCTTACCAGACATATGTGCAAAATACAAGAAGATGGTGTTCCCTTACAATCCTTTTGAAAATTACTTAAATAGCCAATTTTAATTTTTTTTAACCTTTTGATTTTTTCTTTGACAATCGGAAATCACTTGAGAAATTACACTTGTAATAATAATTTGAATAACTTTTTTTTACATAAAAAAGAGGTACAAAACAGATATTATTACAGTTGTTACAGTATGCATAACTGTAAATGTATATCTTCGTAATACACAACATGTAAATTCATCATAAATATCATCATCTTGTAATTCTTAAAACTTTATTTAAAAAAAATAATTAAGTAGATAAAGACACACTCATACAAAAAATGTAATATTGACAATGTTAGTAATTTTCAAAATGATTTTATAATTAAAAAAAAATCTGGTATTTTGCAAAAATGCCTGGATATGTATTTTAATTTTTTTAGGGAACTTTAATGGCAAATGCTTGGGAAAAAATATAATATTGAGGAAGTGTCTGATCTTAATTAGCATTTGAACGCTCAGGCCCATAGTAACAGTTTTAAAAGTGGAACTGGGTCGTTTAAAACTCGAAAATCCTATTTAGTGGGGTGCCTGTTTTCAAAAATCTTTTCTTTATTTCTTTCTTTTTTGGTATATTTATTTTTTAATCCTGGAATTTGCCAGTGCTTTACCTTAAAGCAATAAAAGGGGAAATCAGCATCTAAATCAAGATTTACTATAACGAACATAGCATTTTTTGCAAAATGCTGACATATATACCCGGTAGTTGCAGGGCCTTAAATGTTTGCACTTCAGTCGTTATAAAACAGGGTTTGAAATTTTTCATGTTGGATTATCAAGTGAAATTCTGATGACAATAGTTTAGATGTTGTTCATTTTTTTTTTCAGCTATTACGATGACAACAACCAACAATCCAGATGTTTGTACTTGCCCATGCAGAGCAAATTCTACGAAATCAATAGAACAACAACTGATGGACATTAAAAAAGAATTAACCATTAATAAAAAGAAAACCTCAGCTTATCTAAGAACTCTGTCTTGTGCGGATGATTATCGCCCCAGTTCTAAGGTGATTGGTTATGCAGGTATAATATTCATCGTGTTGGAAATATCATTGTTTGTATTTCTAGATAGTCCAAACTTAATGAAATTGTTTAAATTCATTTACAAGAAAAGGTGAAGGACAGTGAAGATGTAGACACTATTTTATAAAATTTAGATATTGCACATTTTTGTGTCAGATACAGTGACTTGTTTTAAGCATGTGTTTTGAATTGTTTTTGTGAAAATAATAAATGTATACGTCATTTAAGACTTCATCTTCTGTTTGTATCATTACTTGTATGTACATTTCTTTTGTTAAATTCTGTTTTCCAGTTTTTGTCAGCATTGTAATTTTTATGTCCGTTCATAAATTTGCCGTGGAATGATGTCAACCAATCTTTCATTCGGGTGTATGTTTGCTGTAAGGCTATACTCTCGGAAAAATGTTATATATTATATGTTATATATTATAATATTTTACTGTAAATGTGTTTCTTGTCTCAGAATGCAATGTTTGTGGAACCACGAACATTTCAAGGTTTCTGTGGAGTTGTCTCTCTTTCTTTGATACTCGAAACTCGAAAACAAAAGCAATACCTTAACTCCCTCTCTCCTGATAATAAACTGAAACTACACTGTAATATTTACATTTCCAATGTCTTTGTCCGAGATAAAGTTACCAAATGTAAATGTACTTTATTTCTCCATCAATGTATTGGCGCGGTTCCAAAAAAAAAAAAACACGTGCAGGGCGGACAAACAGCTAGACAGAAGCAGGGCTTGGAGCACGTGGATTGGCGGAATCAAAGCATGTAAATATAAGGAATAACTGTCAGACTTTTCAATTTCATGAAGATGATCAATCGATTGGCGTGATAATTTTATGCATAAACGCCTTCATGAAATCGAAAAATAAGACAGTTATTCCTTAAATAAACCTGTTATGCATCAAGGCTGCTTTTAAATAATTTTACATAATGATGTCCAGAGCTACCAACAAAAAAATTCCTTCGGATACAACACAAATGGAAAAAACACATAGTAATTAGAAATTAAACAATTTAAATCAAGAATTTTTAAAAACAAATCGAAAATTGAAAACAACTGAAAAGGTTATGAAATGAAAAATATAAAAATACAAATAAAAAATATTCAGATAATTAATAAGTTGATTACAGTTTGTACATTGTAAAAGAATAAGATAAAATATCGGAACATTTGACATGCCAATGCTTCAAACATATTTTAATTCAAAAATTTGTTCAAATATATGTAAAAGGTATCAAATATGCATTTTTTGTTCAAAGTAAATATCATAATACATTTAGCTGCTAGCTGCAGCCTAGTAAGGATGCTATAAAAACTACTTTAAATACATCAATACAGTCTAGCTTAATAACAAAGTTTAAGTTTCGCATAAATTTTAAGAAGTCTACTGCTCCTCGACCAATACTGCAAGACCCCATATATCCATATTATTTCTAGATATCTTACAAAGATTTGTTTGAATGCATATATCCCAGATTTGGGGTAAGTACTCAAGAGTTTCCTGAATTGCCTTCAGAAATATTGAGATTTCTTCTTCTGATAGATGTACACCATAGGGTAACAAAAACTGGGTGATGTTCCAAACGAAATCAAAATGTTTTAGCAACATTCTAGTTTTCCCCCTTTTCAATATATATTTTATTAAAGCCCTACTCAAACTGTCTCTTATACTTCTCCATGACCATGAATATCTAGACTACCTTTTCTAAATACACATGAAAGTAAAACTCCCTCACTAGTATCGTCAGTCCGTACTCAGTGTTCTGTACAGGGTTTAACAAATTGAATACACACGTGAAACTGTAAACAGGGCACGAGCTCTGTTATTGTTAATGTTTACGATTCACTGGGTGTGTTCAATTGTTAAAGTCTGCACACACCACTGAGCACACACTGACAATATACTCTGAGAGTGTTTTCCTTTCGAACATTTTAACTCTTAATTTTCTAGATTATAGTTTTGATATTTTTATTAATTTACAACAAAATTCTACTTTTCTTGAGTATTAAGAATAAAATTAAAATTTGTGAAAGTGCAAGGACGTGTCAATCAAACCCGATGAGAAATTCGAAGTTTCAATGACTTCGAGAAGAAATTACATTTTTATTATATTTCCTTGTGAAATGCAATTGCAATATATAAGTCGTAATATTGTACAGAAAATTTGAGAAAATAGTATCTTCAAATCTGTATCTATACACCCTTAAATAACAGGACTCAATTACTTAGCATGGGAATTCCGCAAGGTTTTTAAAAAACTACATACTATGCTCAGTGTGCGATCTGTTACCAACACCAGCCAATCTACACAGAGGGGTCTCATAGAAACACCGGAGACCCCCCTTTGTGGAAAAAGAGGAACCCTACAGCACATTCTATCCTCCTGTCAGCCGGTGGCATTATCACAGGGAAGATATACTTGGCGTTATAATCAAGTTCTAAAAGAGATAGTAGGCAATATAGAGAAAGAGCGAAAAAATAAAAGCAAACATACACAGATTTCCTTTGTATAAAAAGAAGGTGAAACAGCGAAGAAGAAAGAAGAAAAGACCCCCGGAATACTTAACCAAGCTGGCTGTATATTTAGGTCAGAAACTGTCATTTCCAGAGGTAATGTCAACCTATCTCAGACCTGATATGGTACTGTGATCATCAAGTACAAAGAATATCATAATCATAGAGCTGACAGTTCCCCGGGAAGAAAGATACGATGAGATCCATGAAAGGAAGAAGTCAAAATATGACCTATTGCTGGCAGAGGTTTTTCTCGGTGAGATTTCTGGTAAAAGGACAGCTTGTAATCAAACAATGACAATTTTACTAAAGTTTTTATTTTTAAGGATTAGATGATACAAACAAAATTAGATACCTGGATTGGTTTATATTTTTGGACCTATTTTTGTTGCAGATGATGCAACTCATATATTTCCATAATATTAAGAAATTGTAAACCTTCTATGATGTTCAAAATTCTAACTCTCTGTAGCCATCCTTATTAATCTATGCAAATATTTTCACATTATTCCATTTTTGTGAAACTGTGAATTAAAATTAAACACTACACGATTAAACTGAATTGTTCGTTTTACTCAATGAAACATGACTCAGGTTATTAGTTTCAATTTTTATGATAAAAGTTTGTTTGTTTCATCTGTCCTTAAAAACTTTTCAAATAAAAATAGAGTGGCGGATTATATATGGTGAACGAAGTTCAAATATGGGAGAATGATTACTATATAGTATCTGATGGTAAAGACTTTTGCTAGAGCAAGAAATGTGACGACAAACTGATCAGCACGGGTCTAGGCTTAACAAGTGGCGTGGAGACAGGCAACTCAAGTGGACTAGAATCTTTTTCCTAAACTGAATTCATCTTCTTTTTGTATGTTTTATCACACAATAAATAGTAAACATAGAAATACTCAGCAATTTAGAAAAATCACCACATTTAATAATCCCATTTAAGCATAGTTGCTGATATTGATGTGAACGTGTTTTTCCTAGACAACACTCATATTTGTAGTAATTATAGGGATTTTCGAAAAAAATTTCTTCTACCATTATTTAGTATACACGTGTAAGAGAGAAAGTTTTTCAATCATAGTATTTTCATTCAGCATCTTTTTACATGTTATAATAATTTGATGTAATATCTACAGCTTCATATCAGTCAAGCCATCTCTTTGTGAACCAATGACAGAGTCAAGTGAAATGCTCTTTCTTAAAGATTTTTTTTCAATGAAAAAGCTGAACATACAGTAATAATTTTATTAATTTGATGAAGTTTTTAATATACACATAGTGTATAAAATTACAAAGGAATGAAAAAAAAAATTAATTAAACACCTGTACCCAAATTGATCTTGAAAAATGTTTTTAGCTTCTGTATATTAATTTTACAAAGATGCGTTAATTGACAGCTGACACTCTTAACGTTCGTTCCTTTTCTTTTCTAAGCCGGTGAATGATGCTTAACTGATCCTCCGTTCTGCATGTCTGGCCCTCTATCCCGAAAGTCTTAGTAGCTGGAAGGACCCGATCAACCTTTGAATCAGAATGTTTTATATTTTCGAGTCGTCTACAGGTGCGATCCAACTTCCCTTTGCAATCCTCAAGATCAGATAACATGGCGCGGATCTGGTTCACACATTTCGTTTTCTGACTTTGTGTTTTGCGTTTTGTTAAAATAGACGGGCTCTGTGGCAAGGGTGGTGGCGGTGGTATGAGGCATCCCGAATCACTTTTTAATCGGGTACCATCGGCACTCGTCGCTGCACGCTCTAGTCTCAGTTGACTTGCTCTGTTTGCACCAGAAGATCGTCTGGAACTCACATCTGCGTGTTTCGATGACCGTTTTAGTGAATCTACACTTTCTGATCTCCTGTGGGAATTTTTCGTTGGATTTCTCTTGGACTCAAATCTGGGGGTCCACATTTCTTTTGGATTATCTAGATTTAGCTGAATATTAGTTTTGGTGAGTGCTGTCTTTGGTATTACTAGATTTAGGTATTGGTTGAAACGCAGGTCATTTTTATTTAGAGACTTCCCATGGTGTGCGGAAAACTGTAGTGGTGAAGAATCCCGCACGGGGGCCAAATTCAGGTTTTTGCCCCTGTCATTAACTGTCAAGGACCTGGAGAAATCTCTGTCAGTTTCGGACATATCTTTTTCACTGAAAAAAAAATTAAATTTGAGGCATAAATTAAATAGCTGCAGATCTGTAGCGTTATGGTTTTATATATTTGTCTTTGACCATAACGCTACAGATCCCGTAGTGCAAAAAAGGTGCAATTTACGGCGCAATATTTTTTGCGCTCTTTTGGGGAGAATTTCTCCACTTCCTAGCTTTGGTCAATCAACTACCTTTCACGTTCTAATTCTAGACAGATTCTGTAGCCAATATGTATAGTTGATCCACCTCCCATCCATTTATAGTTGTCTCTACGGGCAATAAACTCGCTGTATATGAATTTTCAGTAATCTAACAAATAATTTTAATCAAGCGAGTTTATCACTTGTAGAGACGACTATAAAGGGTTGGGAGATGGATAAAATATACAGATTAATTAAATAATGTGTCTAGAATTAGGGGTTGAAAGGTAGTTGATTGAACGATGCTGGAAAGTGGAGAAATTCTCCCCAAAAGAGCGCAAAAAATATTGCGCCGTAAATTGCACCTTTTTTGCACTACGGGATCTGTAGCGTTATGGTCAAAGACAAATATATAAAACCATAACGCTACAGATCTGCAGCTAAAATTAAACTACATTTTTATTTATTGTGAGTGCAATAATTAGTATGTTGACCTAAATTTTGTGACTTTTACTA